TGCCAAACACAGTAACAACAAGTCTCAAAATGGAGACGTTACTGCCCGCTCGTGCAAATCGATGAACAACGGGAGGACAGTGTTTGTTTTTGGCATTAGGTCTTTCCTAGAATCAAATACGCAGTCCACGCGTTGACTGCTGTGAGGAAGACCACGGGTGTGGGCGCAGCAGTGCAAATACTGATTTTTTTTTTCCTCTTCTGGGAATCCAACCCGGGTCGGCCACGTGCAAGGCAATCGCCCTCCCCGCTGTGCTATCGCTCCAGCCCCCTAAACACCTGTACTTGTCATGCAGTGTGGGGTCCGACTCCTGACTTCCTTCAGGCCCTGTTAGTCCAATCATCCTCAGATCTGGTTGTGAACATTCTTTTAGCTCTATTAATTTAACTGCCAGATTCTTCTTCTTCCTTTTTTTTTTTTTTTTGGCGGGGTGGGGGTGGGGTCATAGCTGGCAGTGCTCAGGCTTGACTCCTGGCTCTGTGCTCAGGGATCACTCCTGGCGGGCGCAGGGGACCATGTGGGCCACTGGGGGGTCAAACCCGCATCAGCCACGTGCGAGGTAAATGCCCGACCTGCTGTACTATTGCTCCGACCCCTCTAACTGCCGGATTCTCAAGGAGCCCGATGCAAATCAGCCAGACTGAGCGACTGGGTCAGAGGGAGGAAACACGGTTGTATTTAGGGTTCACTGGAAGAGTCTTTAATAACGTCAGGAAGCCTGGCTAATTATTTTTAAAGAGGATAAGAGATGTGAAGGTATGTCATTTGCTTAAGCGTCTCCCACCGTGAGGGGCTCGCCGAGGCTGCAGGGTTCAGGAGCTCAGCCTCCGATAAACGTGAGCCGGAGCTTTCTCCTGTTTAGTAGTAGGGAATGGGATCTTAACTATGAAAGATGTCTCGTATGTCAAAATGTTGCGCAATATCGTTTCAATCTAAATACAAAAATGAAAAAAAGCGCAGATGATTTCCCTCCTGCTGTAATTCACTCTGGGATGCATGTCATGGAGAGCACTATACAAAAGCAATTTCCATTGATTGACTGACTGATAGAGGAAAAGGGTGAATGTTCTTTCAGCTTACGTCCCTACTGAAGTATGATTCTTATAGCTCCTGACAGCTCTTCACAATCTGTAGTTAAATGCCAGGTTATTGGGGTGGAGGACGGACGGGGGTGAGGGTGAGGGTGAGGGAAGAACGGGGGGAAAGAGCGAGAGGCAAAACTTTTTTTCAGGTTTCTGAAAAGTCGCCGTCAGTGAAATCATAAATAAGTGAGGGTAAGGTAAATTCAAACCTACATATTCTAATTCCTCCCTATTCAATATATTTAGATTGTAGAGAACTGCTAAAAATACCTCGCTAATTGCAAAATCTAATCAGTTACACTGACAATCACGCAGTCCCTGTTCCACTTCTGCGGAGGGTATTACTCTTTCTAGACCAATTAGCTTAATTGAAATCCTGATGTAGAGATGCAGTTGGTAGCACTGTCCTAGTCTTATCTGGAAAACAGCTCTATCTCTGAAATGGCCTCCAATTCTAGAAAAACACACGCCCTTCCTCGACCTAATTTGGGCAAATGTTTCCTTCGGTGGCGTAACTAAGTGAATGCCGGACTATGGGTTACAGATGCAAATATGAAACAAATGACAAAACTATAAAAAAATATATCGCAGAAATAATAACTGCTGAATGACTTAGGCAGATCACTGTCTAATCACCATCACTCCTGCTCTGGTCTGTTTTTAAAATTGAGGTTTGACCCAGGCAGGCCACACAGTACGGGATCATCTGTTTGTTATATGGGGGGGGGAGGCAGTGATGTTTGTGTCCCCTGGGTGTGGACCGGGTTCCTCCCAATTGTTAAGTCTAGGTAGTGCTGACTAGACAACGATTCTTATTTGAAATATAGATTCACTTCACTATAATGGACCTTCAAATGGACTTAATATAATGCTTGCAGAGTTAGATTTATTTGCCAGAGATGGATGGTGGCTTATTTGAAGTAGGCTGATTTTTTAATTAAAGATCTGCAGTGCAGGAACAGTGGCGGACAGTGAGTTTTGCTGGTGGGGGGGGGGGCTGGGGGGGCGGGTTGTGACTCGGTTCGCCCAAACTCTAAGCCTCCACGCCACTCTATGCATGCTACCTAAACTAGAACGACAGCGACACGTAAGGCTCCCCAGCCGCAGAACAGGTCACCACCCGCACGTTTCCAGGTGAGAGGCACCAGGACGCGCGTCTCCCAGGCGGCCCTGTCCGCAAGCGAGGCCCCGGCTAGCCTCCAGTTTCCTTGGCTCGCAGAAATCAACGTTCAGAATTTGGAGCCGAGACTCTTCCCGCAATGAAGCTTCGAGCCGGTTAGGTCCAGGTTTGGGGAGGAGAGTTCAAACGAGTAAATAATCGCAGGATCATTGCATCAGTTAAGTTTAAAGAGCTGACAACCCCTCCCTAAACTCTGAGCACAATTAGTCATCAGGGTCTAGTTTTTCAGCACTGTTAAGCAATTTGTAACCCATTCCTTTTAATAGGGTTAGGCATTACTTAACCGACACAGATGCTCTGAAAACCGAAACCGAAGCAGCAACCCTGTTCATTACCTTCCGTGATAGGCAAATCATCTATAAAAACAGCATTTAATGGGCGACCAATGAATAATCAATGGCTCACTTTTCATCTGAGTGTGAAAACGAGAATAATCTAATACCAACTCCCTCTGGTCTGAGGCCAGATCTTGGGTTCTGCTGCTCTTCAGGGCTGATTTATAAGGTCTTGGAAAGCTGATGTAAACAGATGATCAATGGGCTCATCCTTGCTCATAATAACCCCCAACTGGCCCACTCCCTCTTTTCCAAGTCCATCCCTCCAGGCTATTAGCTCTGTCCAGCTAATTCTTCCCACTGTTCCTGCCTGCTGCTTTTACTCTGGCCATCCACTCCGTCCAGCCGACTCAGAAGTAATTTTATACGCAGCAGAGAGCGGGTGGAATTGATTTTTCACTCAGCGCTCAGTTCCCATCTGAATAATTATCAATTTTACTGCCTCATAAAGGGAAGAGTCAAAATTTCAAATCAATTCAAAAGAGCTTTGGAGACTACAGAAACTGTGCATAAGAATAGAGGTCAAAGTTGTCAGTGACCTAAGGAGATGATGTCAGATATTACTAGACCCAATAGTTGACATCAGAGGCACTCAAGATGATATAACCCGGTGCTAATGCAAATCATATTTATGCTGACTGTCAGAGCCCGGGCATTAATATTTAAAATGCTATCTGAAAGCCTACATTCCAAATAAATAGAATGTATTCCACTGTTAATAAAGATATATCACTACTTAGTCATGTGTTATAAAGTAAAGGATTACCAAGTACGATTAACACGGAAATTACTTAAACCAACCAGTGCATGGTCATTCTGGGAGAGACGCTCTGGCCTGTCCCCTGCCCTGGCCAATCTTGCCTGGCCTGGCCGCCCCATGCTCAGTGAGGGCTGCGTCCTATTGATTTTTACTAAAATATTCTCCCAACTTCAAGCTCCTGCCAGAGTTTATGGGATAATACTGTGATCCTGGCTGGGGGCTGGCGGGCAGGTTTGGGGGTGGTCACGTTGCATGTTCCACAGTGGGCTGGGGCTGGCCTGCGTCTGGCCCCATCCAGGTCATTGTTTTTTCTCCCTCAGTTACAAGTTTTCAGCCACTGGCTCTCCACCTTCTCCCTGTAACCACTGAGGGCTACAGCCGACTGCCTGGACATCATTCGTCCCTGCAGAGGCTCAGCGGGGCGCAGGAGGGATGGAGTGGGCGTGCATGGGACTCTGAGTGGTGCAAGGATCGGTGTGACTGAGCAGGTCTCTGTGGCCCGACGGGTGCACCCGTGAGGCGTCGAAGACGTAAGCACTGCTGGTGCCCTCCGGGCCACGGCCTCTCCTCGCACGTCCCTCTCGTTTTCTCTGCAGCCACTGACCGTCCGGTGGCGCAACTTCCAGTCTCACTGTCCCCAGGGAGAGGAAACTTTCTCTCAAAGCCCAGCTTTTAAGGGGAGCAACTGCATCTTACGATTCTGTCGGCTCTGGCGCCCCGTCCGCTGAAAACCTCCGTAAGCGGGAGTTCTTTTCCCCTCCTCTCTCTGCTGACTCATCACGGTGGAACAGCTCCAGGGCCACCGCCAGGAGTGCAAGGCCGGCGGCCTCCTGCCGGGTCCCACCCTGTCTGCCCGGTCATTCCCTCCCCAGCAGAATGACCCGGGAGCGGTCGGCTGAGGCGTCCCCCTCCACAAGCCTAACGGGACTGTGCTTGAATACCCGCCAACGATGGCGGCCGAGAAGCACGCGTCTTTTGTGCTGTCTCCTTCCATTTCCCTCACATCTTTCCTCGTGGTGATGTTTTTCTGCTGACTCCAGGAGCTGGCTGGCTGGCGAGTGACCGTGTGAAAGTGTTTGCATTGGTAAAACACAGACTGTCGTGCGGGGCCAAACAAAACGACTGACTCGACAGAAAGCTATTGCCCTGCGAGCTCAGTGGGACTGGATGTCTCCTTGGGAAGACGGGTGCCCCCCTGCCCACCACCCTTCCCCCACATGTCTGTGTCTTTCTGCACGTTGCTGCCATGACGTGCAGGGAGAACGTTCCCAAAGCAGGACGGTGCAGCCCCGTGGAACCTTTATTTCTGAGACGAGGACTCCGGAAAATGGTAGAGTCCCAACACGTGGCTGCACTCACAAGGCGGTGGGCACCCAGGAAAGGCACCATCGCTTGTGGGCCTCCAGAAGGTCTGTGCCCTGTGGGGGTGTCTATCCTGGTCCCACTTTTTTCTTTTTTTTGGATTCTAGCCTAGTTGGGGTGAGATGAACAGGGCTGTAAAATTCCCAGGCCAACAGACTACTCTACCTGCAGGAAAAAAATAGTCCCAGAAAATAATTCACCCCCAGAGATCTAACTGCTTGGCGAGCTGTCGAGGGGGACCCTGGCCGGCTTCAGGGAAACCTTCTCCGTGAGGTAGTTACCTGTGGTAGGACGTCGGGGTGCTGCTGTAGGAACTGCAGTAGCCTCTGGCCGTCCCGGGGCCTCTCGCTGCCCCACGGGCCTGGCTTGCCTTCTTTGGCGATGTGCTTGAAGAGGCAGGTGAGGATGAGGTCCAGGCTGGTGCAGCAGCTGGAAGACACAAGCGTGTCTGGGGACAGAGCAGACGAGAGTGGCGGCGTCACTCAAGGGTCCCGGGCACTGGACCAGCCCCGTGGACGTTACGCTCTGCTCCCAGGGAACTGTTTTTTTTTCCCCATCCAACTTGTAAATACCTGAAAGCAAGCATTTTGCTCTCCTTAATCTCTTTCAATATCACAGTGTCTGCTACAGGGCCTGGCACAGAGACAGACTAGGAAGGAAAGGATTCCGGGACTGAACGGAGGAGAATTCCTCATCTCTTCAGCAAGTTAAAAAAAAAATTTATTTATTTATTTATTTATTGTTTATGGATCACAAACCCAGTGACGCTCTGGGTCCCCTCCTGGCTTCTGGTGGCCACTGGCAGTGCTCAGGGGGCAGTGTGGTGGCCAGGATTGGCCCTGGTCCCCTGCATGCTGAGCCTGTGCCCACCAGCCCCGGATGCCTGTGGTCAGAGCCCCTGAGTTCATCCTGGTGTGCGATGGAGACCAGGAAAGGCAGGGAGAGGGGCTCTGAGAAGTTTTCCAGGGAGAAGGGGGATGGCGGGAATTCCGGGCAGCTTTGCTACTACGCTGGACTCTCAGCCTTGCCGTCCCTGTTTCTTAGGCCATACATAAACCCGGTGGTGCTCAGGACTTACTCCTGGCTCTGTGCTCAGGGGTCACTCCTGGTGGGACTTGGGGGACCCATATGTGGTGCTGGGGGCTTGAACCCGGGTCTCAGTGTTCAAAGCCAAGTGCCCTACCCACTGCATCAAACCCCAGAGGCAACCAGTGGTGTGGCTGAAGGGATTATTTATTTATTTATTTATTTATTGCTTTTTGGGTCACACCCGGTGGTGCACAGGGGTTACTCCTGGCCCACGCACTCAGGAATTACTCCTGGCGGTGCTCAGGGGACCGACCATATGGGATGCTGGGAATCGAACCCAGGTTTGCCCGCGTGCAAGGCAAATGCCCTACCCACTGTGCTATCACTCTAGCCCCGATTTCTTTTTTTAAACTAGAGCTTTGATTCATAACACAAAAGCCCAGATTTTTGACCATTTTGGACACAATTCCAGGAATTGATACATCTAACAGAAACAATAGAAGAAAGGATCAAGGACACAGCGGCCCTGCAAACTCGAGCCTGTAGAATAGGTGTGGGCTAGGAGGGGCAGGGCAGGGGGGCCAGGGGGCAGCACAAGGCTCCTGCGGGACGGACGGGGCCTGAGACCCCCGTACACGCCTCCCCAGCTCAGAGGTGATGGCTGAGCTCCCTTTGCAGAGGTCCTGAGTTGTGTCTGGTGGCAATACCTAGAACTGATGCCCTGATAGCGCCAAAAAGACCTTTCACGCATGTTGTTCTAGTGGAAAGATGACGGGACACGGGCGGTGAGCTGGACTGCAGGGAAGTGTGTGTGCCGACCGGGGGACACAGGAGCTGACTGGGGGCCGAGGGGGTTGAGTGAGGGCCCGAGAAAGCAGGGCACAGACAATGTCACTGTCACTGTCCTCCTGTTGTCCATCGATTTGCTCGAGCGGGCCCAGTGACGTCTCCATTGTGACAACTGTTACTGTGTCTGGCATATCGAATACATCACCGGTAGCTTGCCAGGCTCTGCTCTGCGGGCGAGATACTCTCGGTAGCTTGCCAGGCTCTCCGAGAGGGGTGGAGGAATCGAACTCGGGTCGGCCATGTTGGCCGCTTGCAAGGCAAATGCCTTACCTGCTGTGCTATAGCTCCAGCCCATGGAACTGTAGATCTTTAAAAATTTAAATTTTTGGTCTTTAAAAAGAAAGCATTATTTTCACTTAGGCATAGTTAGGACAGTGTTAAGAGTTTACGGCATCGGCATGTAAAATTTCGACCCCACCTCTTCCACCAAAGTGCCTTTGACCCTCCACCACTGCCCACTCCCAAACAAACAGATTTTTAATGTTTTGTCTTGTGTGTGTGTGTGTGGGGGGGGGTGAGGGTGTCACACCCATCAGTGCTGGGGATGGGGGTGAGGCATGTGGTACCAAGACCGCACTCCTGACCCGAGCTAAAGGCTTTTCAGTAAGGGATTTCCCGGGGGCCTGGAATGTGGCTCAGCTGTAGGGACCCTGCAAGGCTAAGCTCAGTCCTCTGTACCACCAAAAAAGGAAGGGAGGGGGCAGTCTTCCCTCCTGACGTTGTGGCATTTGATTGATGGATGAACTATTACCTTGCTCTGCAAACTGGCTACTGTGTAGAAAAGTCAACTCTGGTTATGACCCAGGGAGGAAGTCTAATATGGTGGCAAGCAAGTGGCCCAGGCCACCGGAGGGCTTTGCGTTTTCCCTTCACGTTACTTACTACCTTCAAAGTCCCAATCAAAAAAAAAAAAGAGGTTAAAAATAAAAAAAAAGCATTGGATGAAGCGGCTTAACATCTACCTAAGGAAGCAAACAGGAAATAGATATGGCTTCCTCCCCAGAGAAGAGTGACATGCCATCAATCACAGAAAGAATGATAAAGACCTCACATAGACTCGGGGACCGCACGCCATGCAGGTTTGCATTAAAAGGTTCCACTCTACTGAGTCAGCTATGGAAAAGCCAGGTAAACACTTTAGACACAAAGGTTAGAGCATCTATCCTCGCAATAAAAGCCAGGAGAGGAGCTTCCATTACGGCTGATTTACGGTCGGGGGCTCCAGGCAGGATAAGTGGCAAGAGTGGGATCCTGAGGATCCGGGGCACTGGGTCAGAAACAGAAGGAATCGTGCCGCGGACTCTGCATCGCGACCGGCTCTCTTTATGTGCAGCTCGCGTGGGCGTGAGTTTCGAAGAGGGAAGGTCTTCACCTAGAGAGGACAGGCAGGAGGGAGGGATTTTCAAATCCTGTTTGCGTTCTTGCTAGTTAGGAACTTTAAAAAAAAAGATGGACTTGCAGTCTAGACAAATTTGGGTATAATTTTTTTTTTGGCTTTTTGGGTCATACCTGGTGATGCACAGGGGTTACTCCTGGTTCTGCACTCAGGAATCACCCCTGGCTGTGCTCAGGGGACCATATGGGATGCTGGGAATCGCACCCGGGTCCACCGCGTGCAAGGCAAACGCCCTACCAGCTATGCTATTGCTCCAGAACCTGGGTAGAATTTTTTAAACCTAGTAGCATTCCGGTCTTCTCTGGCGGTTTGCTGTTTCACACCCAGACCCACCAGAGGCGCCTAGGCTCTGGTACTATAGTCCCTCAGAGGCACCTGCCTCGCTCACGGCCGTCCTGGGCCTGCCCTGCAGAGTCAGTGCCGTGGGCAGACTGGCTTGCTTGCACTTCTGCAAGATCAGGCAGAGCTAAAAGTTAACGCCCACTCAGGATCTCTCCTTGTGGCAGAAGGGAGGCCGAGGGACTTGGGAAAAGCCAGTGTGAAAGGCGGTCCTGGAAACCAAAGAACTCTCTTGGTGGGACAGTGGCTTGGGACATAGGCAGGTCTAGGGGTGAACTCTGACCTGACTTCTGGTTCGACCTCTGCACTCATTCACTCTGACCATCTACACCGCAGGGGTTGTCCGAAGAGACCCAGTGCCTGGCACGTAGGGTTCCTCCCACTTAAAAATTTTTTTTTTCCCGTTGGCTTTCTTGGCCTACATTGTTCCAACATGCCAGAGGCTGTTCACCTTGGAGACCTGTTGCAGATATGGGTATGGCCTGGTGCGAGATTTATACCCTCTCCCCCGGATTTTCAAGGGCCAGCGAGAGCTCACCAGATGCTGCCGGAAAGACGCTTTCCAAGACGCCCGGCAGAGTCTGGCAAACTCCCTGTGGCGTACCCAATATGCCAAATACCAATAACAATGATGGGTCTCATTCTCCTAAAGAGCCTTGAATATAATCTCAGGGCTAGGATGAAGGAGACGTTACTGGGGCCTGCTCGAGGCAATCGACGATTAACAGGATGCTTTGTGATTTTGTTTTGTGATTTCTTGGCCATTTCCACCCTCCAACATCAAGCCCGTCACTCTAATTAATGAACGCCCTGATTTCCTGTATCTTTAGCGTATTTTTGTGGGAGAAAGTGGCCCCTTAAGTTTTTATTTTTGTTTCATTTTTTTTAAACAATGGCCTGCTTTATTTATTTTTTTTTTTTGCTTTTTGGGTCACACCCGGCAATGCACAGGGGTTACTCCTGGCCCTGCACTCAGGAATTACTCCTGGCAGTGCTCAGGGATGCTGGGAATCGAACCCGGGTCGGCCGCGTGCAAGGCAAACGCCCTACCCGCTGTGCTATTGCTCCAACCCTGGCCCCTTAAGTTTTTTAAAAAATAATTCTCAAATGTTTTCATCTTCTCACTGTTCCATCCAGTGCAAAACTCCGTTCAAAACAGCAACACAGTCTATTAATCAGGAACGTTACAAATGAACTTCAGGGAAAAAGATGGGAGGGTTTCCAGAGGATCCTACTTTTCACTCCCCTCCCGCTGTTTGGACTTCACACTTGCTTTCGCTCCGGAATCCGCCCTCATCCCTGCCCCAGCTCAGCTCAGAGGGTCTCCCCCTGATCACTTCCTTAAAAGCCACACTTAAGCACTTCCTTTTCATTATCCCTTTTTAATTCCTTATTCAGCACTTATCAGATCTTGACATTTTCATAGGCCTGTGTGGGATTATTCATTGCTTCTTTATCCCCACCAGAAGATAAACTTCCCACCAGCATTGGTCTTTTTTTGCTTATTTGTTTCGGGGTCACACCCAGCTGTGCTCCGGGCTTGCTCCCAGCTCTGTGCTCAGAGGTGACTTCTGGCATGCTCAGGGGGCCCTAGGGAGTGCTGGGGGTCAGCTGCAGGCCAGGCAAGTGCCTGTTTGCTCCACTGTCACTGTGGTTCCCAGCATCGGTCTTGTCTGTTCTGTTGCTTTCAGCCCTGCCACGGTTTGATATGAAACTTGGTGCAGAGTATGCGTTCAATGGTTGTTCATGGGATGATTGAGAATAAAATTAAGAGCAGAGTTTTGTAAGCTTTGCTCCTATTCAAGCGGATGGGTGGTGGATAGTGACCAGAAAAT